AACCTAACGCTAAACCTAACCCTAACGCTTAACCTAACGCTAAACCTAACCCTAACGCTTAACCTAACGCTAAACCTAACCCTAACCCTTAACCTGACCCTAACCCTAACCCTAACCCTTACCTTAATGTGAATCGGCTTGCTTTCAAAGCGCTTTTTAAAGCGCCCTTTTTTCTCCGCGGTCGCTGTTGTCGCGCTGCTGATGACGTCAGGTACGCGGTTTCGTCGAGCGTGCTTTAGTCGAACGCGGTTTTGTGGTGGAACCGTTGAAAGTCCCTGCATGAGAAGTAGGATTAAGTTTGTTTGAACATGTTTCCATATTTCTTCCATATTTTTATGTATTGTATATTTATCCTATTATGTTCATTATTATAGGCAGTTGATCAGACAAACATTTTCTAAGCAATTGTTATTTATAACTACATTTTATTACATTTCTCCTAAGACATATTTCTGATCAGAGAACAGTAATTAATTTCACATTCTCAATATTTAGGCTATACATTTTCTCTCATCCATAAATACATAAGCAAGCAAGCAAACATAAAGCCTAAACATTGAAAATAGATAAAAATGAAGCTTCAATTTTTTTCTCCCTGTATAAAATTCAGTGTGAGCATCCTTTGGCAGCATAGAAATAAAACTCACTCGTAATCTTCATTTTGCAGCTGAAAGAGACAACGGAACTAATCTCATTTAGGAAAAGCAATTTCGCAAATGTTTCAGTTGTTATATGTTTTGTTTTGTTTTAAGAAAGGAAGGAACATAAAGTAAGTGCTATGGTGGCACAGTGGTTAGAATGCAGTATTGCAGGCTAACTCTGCTCACATTGCCAGGAGTTTGATTCCTTCAATCCTGGCCAGCTCAAGGATGACTCATCCTTCCATCCTTCTGAGGTCAGTAAAATGAGGACCTAGATTGTTGGGGGCAATATGCTGACTCTGTAAATGGCTTAGAGAGTGCTGTAAAGCACTGTAAAGCAGTATATAAGTCTTATCGCTATTGTTATTAAGAAAAATGTTTTTGTTAAAGATGTAAAACAAATAATGGTGCCCACTTCTGGTCTGGAATGATAACTAGAGAACAATAACCAACTGTTTTCCCCTCCCCAAAATTCTAAAAATAAACAATTCAGCATCAGTAGAAATTTACTCTCCTTTTTCATTATAACTAAGGAAATATAGTGTATCTTGAGTTCTTGGCAAAAGATTGAATATAAATTAAATAAATTAGCAAGGACTGAGGAAAATAGCAAGGATTATGGGTATAACCACATCATAAAGTAAGAAGATGCATAAACTCAGGTTGTTTATGTTATATCAGCGTTATGGCAGAAAAAATAAAAGGAAAGGCTCTTTAATGACTAATATCAGGGAACAAAAAAATTAGCAAAGGGATAGCACAGAATTTTTTTTTGATAATTTAACAACAGGCCAAGTCCTCAATAGAAATATGATTGGGTCCTAATTATTACCAATACTACACATGGCCAATTATTTTGAAAAAAAGCATATTAATATTAAATATTAATATTAATATTACTCATTTGACAAAGCATGCAGGTAACATAAAATACATTTATGAATAATAAAGAGAAACTCACATCTGGATGTGGAATTGCATATTGTCCTTGAATTGTATAGGCCTGAAAAAAAAAGCAGTATAAGACACTGACACAGTGACCAGTTGCTATAGGCTTCACTTCATGCTAGACATGTAACACTGACCAACATGTTAGGATCTTCCATAGTCTGCAATATTTGGGTCTATCTATCAAATCAGGGACATTGTTATAACACCATATTATAAAGTGGGCGTAGGCCTATAGTATATAATAAACTGGAATTTAACTGAACCCTTTAAAATATATCTACCCAATGAAGCACTTTCTAATGTTGGCAGTAATTAACTTCCTAAGCTTTTGCCTCTGGTCTACTTGGGCACATAGGAAAGTGAAACTCATGGAGGACTTACCAACCAACAGTGAAGCCAGAAACTTCACTGTGACCACATAGTGCTTCCAAATGCCAATTACACAGCCACCCTCCCCTCTTTATTGGGTAGCCTGAGGTTCATCCCCCTCCTCCCTTTAATGCAGTCCTTTCAGCTAATTTTCCAGAGCCAGTTTTGGAGGGAGAAAATGTTTGAATAATTTCTCTAAATAGATTAAAGAGTTTCCATCAAGAGTGGTCCTTGTATGAGTGAAAAGGAGTAAGTAGTTATAACCTTACCAGTCCTCTCAGTTACAATCTGTGAAATGACCTCACCTAAGTACCTGGCAGCTTAATAGAGATCTTGGGCTGGTACCTGGGAAATGACTCAACATAACTCTTGCATAGCAAGGGGAGCTGAGTTACTGGGCATTCTTTTTTCAAAAACATGTTTGTTCCCATTCAGGCCAAGTTGAAACTTTTGCAAACCAGGCTCACAAGAATATCTACTTTCTTTTCATGCAATTAAGTATTGACCTTAATTTCCCTCTTAATTCAACTTTAACTTGTTTTACAACTCCATTGAGGAAGAGAGATAGGGTCTTTGGCACAGACTCTGCCATATTTATGCCATATTCAGATGTAAACAAAAGTCCTTTCTGAAACAGCCGTGTCCCCAATCCAATTCTCCACTCTAACTTCTACCCAGAATAAATATTTGCCTCAATTAAGCTTTGGACTGCTTATAGAAATAGTTGTTGGGTGGCATTTGTCTTAGTCAAAGGACAGGAACAGATCAGTATTTCCTTCTGGATTTTGCAGCTAAAAATAACAATTTTGATCAACCTTGCAATAAGGACTTCAGGGAAAGACCATCAGAGCTAGTTAAGGGGGACTGCACACTGATTGTGCACATCTTCCATTCTTTCTAAGAGAGCTGCTTGACTGGATTCAATTGTGCAAGCCTTGGGCAACCATCATTTCATACATTGCAAAATTGCAGTGACTGGCAATAGGCATTCAGTTGTGAGTGTAAACAATGATTGCTTTGTAATGCCCATCCATTGTAACATTGTTGTTGGTAAGCCTGGCAAACAGTAAGATCTGACATCTGACAAGATATATTGTGGACCAGATTTCCCTCTATATATTTAGATATTATTATAGTTGGCCATGCATTTAGCCAAATATTTAGACTGAATTTGGCAAATCCTTCCCAATGATGTGGGATAAGCAGTTGTTTGATGGTATTAAAGATATTATTACAGAATGTGTCAAGTGTTCTAAGTAATGCCTTTTGCAATTGAATGATTTTGTCAATGCCAATAATGTCCAAGTGATTCTCAGGTTGGTTATTATATAACATTATATGGCTGACCACCAGACAGAATTTTACCCCAGATTGGCATCCAAACTTATAATATTATATAATTTCATATAATTATATGATTTTATATATGTTATGACAGATATGTCAGTGATCATCTAGAACGCTACATTTGATGGGTTTGATAGCAGGCCTTTTCTGCTGTGGCACCCGTATTGTAGCATCTTCTCGCCCCAGATATAAGGTTGGCATCATTACTCCTAAGCTTCCAAAGATCCCTCAAGGCCTGTATATTCTCTTCAGTTCTGCTCTTTAGTATCATCCCTTTCCCAATTTTAAGCAAACAACAATGCTGTGGCATCAGTTAGATTGCAAATACTGGTACCATATTTTAAGCTCCATTGTTGAATGGTGACATTGAACAGAATAGAATAACAGAGTTGGAAGGGACGTTACAGCTTTTCTAGTCTAAACATACACCATTTCAGAAAAGTGGCTGTTCAGTCTCTTCTTAAAAGTTTCTGAACTTCTGAAGGCAAGCTGTTCCACTGGTTATTTGTTCTCACTGTCAAGAAATTTCTCCTTAGTTGAAAGTTGCTTCTCTCCTTAATTAGTTTCTATTCATTGTATCTTGTTTTGCCTTCCTGTGCTTTGGAAAATAGGTTGACCCCCTCTTCTTTGTAGTAGCCCCTGAAATATTGGAACATTGCTATCATGTTATCCCTTGTCCCTCTTTTCAGTAGACTAGACATACTCAATTCCTGCAAATGTTCTTCATGTTTAATCTCCAGCCCGCTAATCATCTTTGTTGCTGTTTTCTGCATTCTTTCCCCAGTTTCAGCATCTTTTTTATAATATGATGACCAAAGCTGGAAACAGTATTCTATGTGTGGTCTTGCTAAGGCTTCATAAAATGGTACTAATATTTCATGAGTTCTTGATCGATCCCTCTGTTAATGCAACCTAGCATTGGCTTTTTTGGCTGCTGCCACACACTGCTGGCTCATATTTAACAATAGTAATAGCACTTAGACTTATACACCACTTCATAGTGCTTTACAGCCCTCTCTAAGTGTTTTACATAGTCTGCAAATTTCCCCCACCTGGGTCCTCATTTTAATGATCTACCAAAGGATGGATGGCTGAGTCAACCTTGAGCCAGCCAGGATCAAAGTGCTGGCAATCATCAGAGTTTGCTTACAATACTGCATGTTCATCACTGTGCCACCACAGCTCTTTTAAGTGATTGACCACTAAGACTTCAAAATCCCTCTCACAGTTACTGCTATTGAGCCACGTTTCACCTAATATGTAACTGTACATTTGGTTTTTCTTGCTTGAGTGAAAACCTTACTTTTCTATATATTGAATTTCAATTTTTTAGATAGGGTCCAGTGCTCAAGATCTTGAGC